GTTTGTACGGCACCAGGTCCCTCGACACGGACGACGTGGACTTCGCCGCCCTCCGGCTGCACGCCACCTACCGCAAGGCCAAGACGCAGGAGGAGAAGCAGGCCGCGCTGGCGCTCGTCGACCCGCTTGTGTCGGTGTACGACGTGCTCGCCGAGCTTCCGGTGAGAAAGATACAGCCGTTTTTTTTGTTTTTTTTTAACGAAACCCTCTTTGAAGTCGTTCGCCACAAACTCAAAACAGGCACGACCAACCCCCACCCTTACCCCCGGCTTTGTAGGGATGCTCCGTCAATGGTCTAACGACTAACGCATGCACGGCTATGAGTACACCCCCCCCAATCCCCCATCGGGGCGTGCGTACCAAAAATACCGGGGGCATGCTGTTCGCGCCTCACGAGGCGATCGTCGCCGGGGTCCTAGCGTTGTCGTCCATCCACAAAACTCATGCAGCATTCAGGACCCCCCCTACGCCCCCCCCCCGGTGTTTGCCATCGGGGTTGGGTTTTTGTCGCTTGGCAACGACGTTGTAAAACAAGCCCCCCCCTCGGTGTTTGCCGTTGGGATTGGGTGTTCGTCGCTGGGCAACGACGTTGTAAAACAAGCCAATTCACTTCGTGAACTCGGCAACCAGGTTACCATTTTGTTTGTACCTCTGGTGTTTTTTTGCGGTAACCATAATGGTGGTCGAGTAGGTCAAGTTGTGCGGGGTGGAGAAACCTCACTCCGCGCAACGGGGGATGATCGCACCACGTTGTGTTGAAACGGTCAAGCATCCTCGAGGCAGTTACACAGGGCTTACAACTGTCTCTGGAAGTGAAAGCACCAGAAAATAAATTAAGTCATACACAGCTGTTATCCGTACGCAAGGAAGTAAGCACAAGGTGCCCAACACCCTTAGCAGGATGCAGCGCACCCTTCATGCGACTCGCCGAATACCTCACGGCGCTTCGCGCTTGGTGATGTGAGAGCCTGGTCCGGTGAGAACCCGTCGTGCTCCGTCCCGGCTTTGTAGGGATGCGAGTTCAATGGTCTAACGACTACGGCATGCACGACTATGAGTACCCCCCTCCCCCCGCCCCCGCGCGCGCGCGCCTGCCAATACAGGTCGGCGTGCTCTTCGCGCCTTACAAGGCCATCCTTGCGGAGGCCCTGGCCTCGTCGTGCTGGATGGGCTCGGAGGAGCAGATCGCGACTCTCAGAGAAGGGCTGGGGCTCACCCCCGCCGGGGACGAGTTCTGGGGACCCCTGGGGGAGGCGACGAAGTTCTTGCACCCGGAGGACAGGGTGCGGCTGCTGGTGGACTTCGTGAGGGCGTTCTCCGGCGAGGAGGAGATGCGGCAGGCGCTCCTGGAGGTCAAGGATGTGCTGGGACCGGTAAGAAGGGGCCCGTGCCGTGTCTTGATAGCGTTGGCTCGCTGTTGGTGGTGGTGTGGTGTTTGGTGTGTCTGTCGGTGTTGGGTGTTTGCGTTTTTTTTTGTCAGTTGGCATCGACCGCTCGCGCTATTTATGACTGGCTGACCAGTGCCTGGTAGGGCGACCGTGTCGTGTTGACGAAACTGTCGTGCTGGTGGTGGTGGTGGTGGTGGTGTGTGGTGTTAGCTTTTGGTGGTGTTTGGCACGCCTCGCGTTCAGACAGGAGTCCCCCACCCCCCCATATGAGTTTTTCAACGATCTCGTTGAACGCTTCTTTCTGATCAGTGGAAGACTGGGCAAGAACGGTCGTGCTTTTCCCCCGCTTTTCCCACGGGCTCGACCACGAACGACCCCCCCCCCCCCCCCCCCCCCCCCCCTCCCCCTCCCCCC